GGAACTGGGGAAGAAGCAGAGGCCGACTCCAGACGGAACACACCGAGGCGTACGGCGCCAGGTTGGGAGTTGGGAGGCAGGGTGCTAGCATGCCTGGGGCTAGCAGGCCGGGAATCACACACCGAGAGGAAGTCCAAAATCCAACCAGGTAAGAATTTCACTAAACATGGCTTCTCCATAGCCATCTGGTGTGCCTCAGCCAGAGCAGCCTCTCGCTGCTGAACTCCAGACGCTCCCCTCCACTTATCAGAGCAGCCAGCCAAAGAAAAATAAAAGTAATTCCAACTCAAAAGGATCTGCTGGTCCCATCCTTGGTTAGTTCCTTCTGTCAGGGTTGAGAGAGGCAAGCAGGACCCAAATGCAGATTAACAGAAAATACATTTATTTCAAGGTTTAAAGACAGAACTCTTCCCAGTGAACACAGTCCAACAACAACAAGGAACTAACAAAGACTAACAGAAAACACAGAACCTAAATGCACACATGACTAATCAAACAAACAAGATACAGGTGAGGAGGGAGGAGAAAACACAGAGGCACCAGGTGAACACAATCAGGTAATCAGGGAGGGCTCATAGGGCAACATGCTGATAAAGAAACACTCTGAAAACATCTCCCAGCATCAGCAGGGAAATTCACCCGGACAGCAGACACTGACCCATTCATGCTTACAATACAAACTCTGCCTTAGTGGAATAAACCAGTTTTTAAAGCGACTTCTGTTATCATTCCTGCAAGATGGCTGCAGGAAGAAACAAACACACAATGACTGAATTAGTAGTACTAGAAGAAGCCTATTGAATATTTGAATTAATGTATAAATGTGTGTTTTTTTTTTCCTGCACGATCCTTTTAGTCTCCGAGTAACTCGTAAAATATAACTATGCACACTTATTTGATTGTCGTGAGCTTACATTTTTTTATTTTACGATGCACTTACAGTATTTACACAATAAATTACAGAGAATCAGATATCTTTTAAATAATTTATAAATAGGTATATACAAATGTATTAATGGGAGAACCGTATCATGATGTATTTGTAATTGAACATACTTATTTTTTTTAATTGTATTGCAGTCTTGAAATGTTTTGTTCCTGCTCAAACCGGTTCAAACAAGCATTGCATTACTTTTAATATTATTATAATTATCTTTTTGCAAGTGAATGCAACTTGTGAACATTTAAAAGGGCCTAGTTTTGACAGCTTGAATGAATATCAAATATGGATTGTTTTTTTTGTGACAAACGTTTTCTTATTGCCTTGGATTATTCAAAAGCATAATTTATAAATGTTCCCACCAACATTCCCTATCTGTCCCAAGGAAATACAAAATCACACCTTCTTACTGGTCAGTGGGTTCAACCATTAAATAAGAACACACAATATATCCCTTTAACAACAAACTTCAGCATAATCTGATTTAAGAGATTAATCACACGCTTGTTTTCCGGGGGCTGCCAAATATAACTCAGCTTTAGTCATATTTCTGCATATATCAATCTTTCAACAGGCATTTCTTAAGATGCTATCAGCTATAAATCCACCCACAATGCTCCTTTCCAAGTCTGTGACTGATACATGTGTCACCAATGCACTGAAACCAAATATATAGCATATCAACAAGATCAAACTCGATATGTACTCCCCTCCAAAGAATTCTGTATTTCTTATCATACACTCTAAAAACAAATTCCTTGGCTCAACAAAGAAAATCAACGCAACAGTTTGCATCAATGTTTATTGAGTTAAGACAACTTCTATTGAAATTGTCTTAAAGCAACAAAGTTATTTGAGTTAGGGGAGAAGGCTTTTCCTCTACAATCAGAGGTGTTTTTAATTACCACTTACTTAATAATTGGTAGCATAAACACAAGTTTTGAAGTTGATTACTCAAAAGATTAAGTTGTCGACTAGTTTTACCACATGATTTAAAAGGAATTTTAAGTTGTATGTACTTAATTACCCTCATTCGGGATACAAGTTTTTTGGTTGATTTCTCCAAAAATTAAGTTGTTCCGTCTTGTTTTACCGTATGATTTAAAAGGATTTTAAGTTGTATGTACTTAATTACCATCATTGTGAACACACGTTTTTAAGTTGACAACCATTTATAAATTAAGTTGCTCCAAATATATTGTTTTCAATAGTTTTTTTTCTTAGCTTTTACATGTTTTTGCCTTTAAAGTTGTGCAGTTGTTTATTTCAACACATGAGTTTCAATCAGGAGAGAATTCATTTTGTTTGAACATTTATTGACACATGCCATATGATAAGGTGCATGAACACCTGAAATCACAGCTGACTGCAGGAGAGAGGAGAACCATTTTATAGTTTGGTTGCAGCACGTTGATTGGCTGCTGGAGAATGAGGTGAAATGTAATAGGTTAAAGAGAACGCCTGTGATGAGCTGATGATATGCAGCTGCGGAGTGAATGTATATACACCCAGTCTTCCTGAAAGAACTTGCACTGAGCTTAATTTAAATCTTGAAAAAAAGATAAATTCAAATTTAAATTGCCCCACAAATAATAAATAAACACATTAGCCATATTACCATGGGACATGGGGACACAGCAAATACATGCTGCCATCACAACGAAGTTAGAGGCCTTTGCATATTTAAAACCAGTGCCAAATATGTAACATCTGTAAAGTTGTTGTAAAACTACAGAAACAAACTCTCAATGGCCACCAATCTGCAGATCACACACATCCATTTTACAAAAGATGTAACAAAGATGTTTACACTGCCGACAGTCATTATTTCAAACGGTATGAACACATTTAACGCAGAATGCTTGCTCATTTGTTTCCCTCCACCACGATGGTTGCCATCGTATGGTCAGATCCTGGGGTGGACCGGTCACTGATGAAGGCGATATTCATGTCCTTTTGAAGCACATTAAATAATAGGTTAGCGCATAAGAGATAATGAATTAGGTAATGCATACTTTTTAAACTGTCACTCTTAGCTAATTCAGAGCCATTATTACCAGCTGCTAAAGAAACGCTGGTATTGTTTTCACCTATTGAGTCTGCATGTATGTGTCATCATGGCAATGTGGTCCTGAAGACACACAGAGGTGCTTTTGAGTACTTTGCCTAGTGTTTAAATGCATGTGGACAGATTTTGTAAATCACAACCGTGCAAGTTTTAGTGTATCTTCTCATCTTTTTTGCAGGTTCCATACAATATGTGAACTGGTTAAGTGAAGAGCAGAAGCCACTTTTCAAATTGTACACAATTCTTTTCCCATGCCATTGCTGTCAACACCTATCCATGCTGAATGATGCTAAGATATTATTGATTGGGGTGTGGCCAAAAGTGCAATATGCTTCAAAATGTAGCTGACAGAGAGCAGTGCTTTTGTCAGAGAGCACTGTGCCCATGGATTTTATTTTATTTCAAGATTTTTAATTACGTCGCTAAACTCCTTGAAAAGGTCCTCTTCCTTTTCTCCAAGGTACACGACAAGGCAGCGGATGGCTATAGTTCTCTGCATACTTCAATTGTTTTGTGCTATTTTTGAAAAAGGAAAAAAAGAGAAATGACCTAAATGAATATATTCTGAATGGGTGACTGCCAACAACTTGCATTTCAATGACAACTCTAAATAACGATCCTATCTCAAGAAGCATGTCCTTGATCTGCTTCACCGAGATTCATTTTGAGTAAAAAGTGATATCACAATAGTAACCAAAGTATTTTTACTCTCACAGTAGCCTCTACCACTTTGTACCCTCTCATATAACTATTCACAGTTCAAAGGCTGCTAATTTTGGTCAAACAGCAATTTGCCTATACAGTGCAACTACAAGGCTATCTACTGTATTTGAATGACAAAAGATGACACTCACCTTGAAATGTCCTTTGTATATTTCTATTTGTCTTAACTGTGGGAACTTGTCCAGGCATGTTAAGTGGGAGTGGACTTGAAATCCTTAACTCAAGGTGTAGAACAGGGGTCTTCAACTAAAATTCAACGAGGTCCAGTTAGAGAAAATCTCCCCATGCAAAGGTCCGGAACATCAAAATGTCTAACTTGCTTCATGAATTAGTGTGATATATATTGAAGTGACCTGTAGCTTTATCAACGTCTGCATGTAATCAACAACTGACTGCCAATCAAATAAATAAAGTACAATTCAAAAACAACAACATTTATTGTCAATTAACATTGAACTATACAGATATACAATACTGTGGCTATGTGTAATGTTCCTCTCGGGCTGCATTTACAAATAAAATAGAGAAAATAAATAAAATAGCGTAATATACCATCTGACAAAGGCCTGCGCTATAATGCTTCAATTAACTGGCTATTCTTTATAATATACTCAGATCAATAGGAGACAGAGATGTTAAGTTATAAATCAAGGGTTTTTATTATTATTTACAGAAAGGGTGGGGAACCTTTTTCCTTTAAATTTGTACAACATCCTCCGAGGGTCGTACAAATTATTGAACTCAACTTTTGCTTAAAAAAACTAAAATCACAGCCCATTAATTTCGCCTTTCTTTCATGCTGTGCAAAGAAAAATCAACCTCTGAATCCAGATATCTCACCATGACTCACGTATGCATGCACGTGCACGGTGTGGCATGACCACCAAAACAGAAAGATATGGACACAAGATGTGTGCAAATGTATTTAGTATCTTATCCATGTGAACATGATTTAAGTGGGGGGGGACCTAACCTCCTCTAGGGGGGTCCGGGGGCATGTTTTTTTTCTGCAGGGAGAAATGTGAAGATCACGTGACATAGACGCCAGCCATTGGAATGAATGGTGAAAAAAAACGTAGGGATCTTACAATTTCAGAGGCGTTTTTGTAGAAATACTACGTCCTACGTTGTGGATCAACGTAGTTATTACACGTTTTTTTATGAGACTGGGTTGGGGGGTCACAACTAGTGATGGGAATTATGGCTCTTTGAAGGGAGCCGGATCTTATGGCTCCGTTCCTTTCAAAGAGCCGTTCAAAAGAGCCGTTTTTTAAAAGGGGGCGGGGTTACTAGGTTTATCTGCGAAATAATCACCAGGATAATGATTGATTGTATTGCCAGACCTTATGTCAATAATCTGCATTGTAAACATGACACAAGGTGGCGCCATATCCATGTCATATCCATGTCATTCATGTCAGTGAATGTACTTTGAATGTACCCTCTGTATGTGTTAAGTAAATAAAGTTGCCTTGCCTTGAATGAAATTCACGCATTTCTTAATATTAGATACTGTGTTTTTAAGTGGTGATGGAGATTATTTGTTGACCCTGCTTTAAAGGATATGTTGCCTTTACAAATGGTGCGCTTGCTGCCTGGGTTTTGGTTGAAGTGCATCCAAGTGCTGCTGCGTTTTCGCGTTTGGCTCATTTTCCATCCGAAAAACACGTCGTCTACCTGTCCTGTATACCACTTGTTATGACTTCTCTCTCGCGCATATTCCGTTAAGACCCACCCCATCTCACTCTTCGTGCTGAAACCTACCAATCAGAGTAGGGGCGGGTCTTCACAGAATACGTTTGGGGAACAAAATCAAGCTTTTTAAAAGGCGAGTGAATTTTGGCAGACAGTGAGTGCGGACCAACGATTAAACGATAACAAGAACGGCTCTCACCAAGTACGACTCGGTTCCCCTCGTTCGTACCAAAGAGCCGTTCAAAAGAATCGGCTCGTTCGAGACCGACACATCAAACGCCTTCTTGACTTTAAGAAGTGTACAACAACTTGTATAAAACATTTTTCTAAATATATACAGTTGGCTTATAACTCATGATTGCATTGCCTTTTATAAATGACATTTTATTAAATGGTTACTAAAATGGTTTCAAAAATGTTATAAGCATAGACGTGATACGGGCAAGTGAAAACCAGAACACAAACTAATCCCTCTCTGGTAAACTGCTTCGTTGTGTAGTTAAAAGGTATACAGTTACAACAAGTTAACAATTTGTCATAATAGTCATGAAAGTTTCTAAAATTAACAGGAAAACTCATCTCTGGTGCAACATTCACAAGAAATAATCAAACATTCTCAAAATCGCTCATTTTACGTAAACTTCCTGCAGTTTTAGTTTCATTATTTGTACGAACTGTACACTCTATCCTTATTCTGTAATGTTGTTAAATATATCATGAAATATCCATTGTATATGTCACTTAGTCAGTGGTCATCAGTTTACCTAAAGATGGAAAAAGGGCCCCCTTAGGAGAAAAACATTTGGGAACCACTAACTACTGCATTTTCTGCGCACGCCCCTGCCATTCTTCAGCTCCATCAGCTCCACTTCGTGCTTTGCTGCAGTCTCCAACACCCTCTGCTTATTGTAAACCACCACAAAATTATTGATGATGGGGTGGATGGGCAAGGCGATGGCTATGACTCCACATAGAAAGCTCACGGCTGCGTTGCACCTGCCCAGCGTGGTTTTGGGGTAGATGTCTCCGTAGCCCACCGTGGTCATGGTGATGATGGCCCACCAGAAAGACTGCGGGATGCTGCTGAAAAGCGTCTCCGGGTGGCTTTGCTCCATGGTGTAGGCCAGCGCTGAGAACACAAAGATGCCCACCCCCATGTACATGAGGAGCAGCCCCAGCTCCTTCAGGCTACTCTTGAGCGCGTAGGTCAGAGTCTGCAGCCCGGAGGAGTGGCGCGCCAGCTTGAAAATACGCGCGATACGCATGATGCGCAACGCCTGCACCGCCTGTTGGACGTTAGCCAGCTCCATCATGGACGCGGTGCCGAGGGAGGTGAGGGTCAGGACCACGTAGAAAGGCATGATGGCCAAAAAGTCTATGACGTTCATGAAGGAGAGCGTGAAGTGCAGCTTGTTCGGAGAGGAGGCGAGACGCAGCAAGTACTCCGCGGTGAACCATAACATGCAGGCGGTGTCGATCCCCTCCAGGGTCGGGTGCTCCACGAGTTTGTCGTCAGCATTCTTCACCTGGAGCTCCGGGATGGTGCCTATGCACATCACCAACGCCGAGACCAGGACAGACAGGAAGGATATGATAGCAATGACGCGCGCCGGCAGAGAGGACCCCGGTTTCTCCATCAGTCTCCATAAAAACCTCTGGCACCGCTGGGTGCGCGTAATGCACCGATCCACCTCCAGGTCCTCCAGAATCACTTTGACTTTGTTTGCGATCTCTGTCAGCTCCTCCTCCTTCTCGCTGAGGTAACTTTTACAACATTCATCCAAAACGCATTGGTCTATTTTCCAGAACTCCATCTCCTTGATGAAGCAAATGGGGCAGATGCCGGGTTTGATGTGGATTTCGTCTAAGTAGTAAACGTTGATGATGCACTTGAAGGCATCGGGATCTCGGTCGAAGTAAAACTCCTTTCTGCCCGGATCAAAGTCATCACAAAGCGACGATATGACTTCGTGATCTTGGGTGGCGCAGTTCAACAACTCCGCCAGTCTGCTCTCCGGGTAGCGATTTAAAACATCCCCAAAAAGCTCCACCCGTACTCCACCAATGTTGACAGCAATCTCCCCCTCGTCGCACGAACCTCTTCTATACTTTGGTTTCGGAACTGTCCACATTTTCTAAAAAAAATTGAATGAACAAGTAGGTGGAATATCATGTTAAAGTAAAGCGCAGTAACCAGGATTGATGTCCATTATATCTGCGCGTAAAGGTTTCCTCTAGTGTTTCATGCACTGTGAGCACGGCTTGAGCGGCCAGCTTTCCCTAACACTTCCCACCTCTCTCTCTCTCTCTCTCTCTCTCTCTCTCTCTCTCTCTCTCTCTCTCTCTCTCTCTCTCTCTCTCTCTCTCTCTCTCTCTCTCTCTCTCTCTCTCTCTCTCTCGCACACACATACACACTCTGTCTCACACGCACACATCCAGATGGATCTTTTTCACTTGTGGGGGATGCAATATGTAGCCTGTTTGGCTGTTAATTCAGTAATTCATTAAATCATTAGTCATCATTTTTACATTATCATTCATTATTAACAAGCACTGCACTCTTTAAAGGGCCCTATCATCATTTGGGGGAATTCTCCCTTTTCATAGTGTGTTAGGCCTATAAAGGTTTTTGTGCATGTAAATGGCTCTGCCTGAATCACCTCCATAGGACTCCTTTGTTTACTTCTGTAACATAGTGACATCACTATTTATCAGTCGCGCTTCTATTGGCTAACGCTCCAACACATTGTAAGTAACAGATTAAGGGGTGAGACATCCAGCCGAGCCAGCTAACCAATCAGAGCAGACTAGGCTCTGGTTTCAGACAGAGGGTGAAAAGAGGTGCTGCAGCACAGGCAGTATGAGAAAAATAAGGACCTTTATGAGCATTAAAGCATGTCAACATGTCACAGTAGAGGCAATAAATACAAACATAAACCTGAAAATGAGAAAAATAAGGCCCCTTTAATACTTACAAAATGTTATCCCTTCCTTATAGTGGTACGTTTTTTTCATTTGAAGGTGCATTACCAATGGAGGATTGGTAATATCCAAAAGATTCCTTACAATATCGAACATATTAAGTCATCAAATATATTTTATGAGGCCAAACTCAAGCTGTGAACATGCACAAAACACGAACAGTGCTCTCTGGTGATCAGAGACAGTATAGCATTTAGTGGTGAAGTAACCAGTGATGGACAAAGTGAACAGATCTTTTACTGAATCAAAAGTAAAAACCACATTGTAGAAATACTCTGTTACAAGTCCTGCATTCAAAAAGTTAATGTACAAAAGAGTTAGACTTCAAACTCTTATTTCATGATAAGATAATCAAAGGTTAGAGAAAAGCAAAACAAATGAAACAATTATGTGCAGCAAATATGTTTTTTTTTTTATGTGTTCCCATACCTCAAAAATCATCTCATGGTCTATAAGAATACTGCACATGTTTAGCTAACAGTGCTATAATAATTGTTGGATCATCTTTTAAATGTTTTTAAAAATCTTAAAAACAATAGTCAATGCAGCGTAACCAGAGAAATATTATTTTATTTCATACATTCTTCTTTCTGACATAACCCACAATGCAACTCAACAAATGACAATTCCGTTGACAATGTGTTATGCTACTAGCGGCTAATGTAGCTACAAGCAGAGACGAGCAACGGGCTACAGAAGTGAGCTAACTTCTTTCTAACTCCACCCGTAATTGTATTAAAGCCCAAGCCAATGCTGACTCAAGTGACATCATTATGAGGCAATTTATCGGACTTCACAGCTCCCTCTGGAGCTGCAAAAGGCTTTACTGGTTTTTTAATGCAATGACAATGGCAACTGACAATGAAAACTACCCTTGGGTTATTATATTTTCATTGAGTGACTATTGTGGTACTTAATTAACTGAGTTCTTCTTCCACCATTGAAAACATTACATTAAAAACATTCAGATTAAATACATGTTAAAATAAAAGTGATATGTACATAGTCGTTGTGCAATGTTGTATAATGTGAAACCTGCATGAAAGAGAAACACTATACCCCACCGTGATGGCTTTTTGAGGTTACTAGGAAGATAAACTCAATTAAAATGCTTTAAGCTGTACATCAACATCCAAATAACAGTGTGTATCATTGTATTATTAAATTATTCCGCAGTTCCATGTGCACAAAAAGTAGTCCATGTGCAGCTGATTTTGTATTGAAAAGAAACTCAAAATGCATCTACTGTTCAATGAGTATTTACACTTGTGGGAAGCTGGACTGTTATTTCTGCGTCCAAAGAAAGATCTTCTCGTGGATCACTGGATGTGTTTTATTCTATAGTTGAGGGTCTTTGTCTCCCCGGCTCTGATTGGCCCACTCCACCAGATGATCGACAGGACTCTCATTGCTTGGTCTTTGTGTGGCTCATCTTTTTTGATTAATGTTAGCTGAGCTCCAGCAGGTTGGTGCTGATGTAGAAGCAGATGTAGGAGAGGTACTCAGGCTGACAGAGTCCTGGGATGTCAAAGCTCACCTGCTCGGCAGAGAGAGGAGACCTCAGAAAACAGCATGTGACAAACACTTTGACCCAGAGCTACAGGAGTATGTTCATAGTTCAAATCAGGCAGTTTTTCTTTATATCATTTTTAAATTGTGCAAATCTTGGCCTTATTTGAATGTGTACATGTTTTTGCTGTAAATAGCCCTTTTTTGCCCAAATGAATAAAATAAATACAAATTTGGACAATATTTTGCTAAATTCAGAATCTGATTGATTCTTATCCATTACCGTTGAAGATAAAAAACAACAACAACATAGACATGCTTTTTTAATGGACTGCTTTTTATCAATAACCTTGGTTTAAAAAAAACAAGGTTAAAAATAAAAGAATGGATTGTCCGATCAAAGACTATAGTAGTTTGTATCTGAACATTCATTATTTTCTTGCCCATAAAACCACCAAAACTACAAACTCTTTTTTTCTAAATGTTACTATTTCTGCTGTTACTGCTCTCTGTCTTTGCCCACATTTCACTGGCAAGACAGATGTCATTTAAAGTCAGTAGGTGGTTGACATGCTCATCTCACATCAACATTTAATCTGATTTGACAAGTACTGTGACTTACTCTTGGGTCTTGGTGAACAATTATCAAAATTGTGTAATTACTACTCACCACATTTAGCTTCATTCTCACAAAACTAGATTTAACAGTGATAACACATTGTTCTTTTTACTCCACTACATGTATCTGATAACCTGGACATTACGTTGCATGTTCGGATCATTTATACATAATACATTTAACAAACAAATGATGATGTTGTATTGGAGAACAGAATGAACCCCACCTCTACCAGGTGCAACTGTAATGTGACGAGTCCTAAAACCCAGAAGTGAGTTAGCATTTTACCACTATTGGTTCCCTCGTCTCAGAGTCAATGGGATTTCTCCATAGGATTTTGGAAAAAGCTGGAAATAAGGTCTGTGTTTGACACAAATGTAAGAGACGGATCACTTTTTGTTCTACGACATTAAATACATCAGCAGTGACCCCACTGGTGATTTTTGAAGAGTTTACGTGTCTGAAAAACGATGGTTGTTAACAAGTGGTTGAATAGGACCACAGAAGTTGCCGAGGACGTTGTACTTCATTACGCCGAACTCCTCTAAGTTTGTTTGCCCCTGTTCTGCTTGAAAGCAAGTACCTGCACTCTTGCAAACTGTTAAAACAAACGCTTCAACTTGTACACTTTTTAATCTGTATTTTTGAATATGGATCTTAAGTTGGCGTGACGTTGAAGTCGAGCGACCCTGCTTATTCGGCTGTAGTTCGTTTATAGCATAACATTTCTTCTGGCGATTAGATTTATGATTCGAAAATTATAAAAGTAGGGTAGACATGTGGATATTATCCACATGAACAAAACGTGCATTTATCAAACAGGTTCGTTTTCTATAGACCTTATTTCGAGCTATTTTCCAAAATCCTATGGAGAAATCCCATTGCTTTTAAATTATCCCTGCACCTCTATTCTGGGGCATAATGAGTAATTATTTTTAAAATGTAAATGCCAATTTATTTGCACTTTTACTAAAGTAAAAATCTGAATGCAGGACTTTTACTCCATACAGATCTGAATACTTAGTCCACCATGACATTTCAACATTACATGATAGCTGAAGGAACAAGCTTAAATGAACTTGGTTTGTGAAGATGTATTTGGTCTCTTACATCAGTCTTGCTGTTAGAGGCAGTGGGGTCCAGATGTTTGAACAGTGACGCGAGATCCTCTCTGAGTTTCTTTGAACGCTTCTTGTCCGTGTGCAGCAGAAGAGCCTGATAGTTCACCGGTAGTCCATACCTAGCAGGAGACATCATCATGAGTGTACTCATAGTAAAATGATTCAAATTAAATGTTTCAAGAAGGTTAAAAGAGAAAATGAAAGTACATCTCATCAGCGCTGACCTGAGGACTGACTCCGCAAACACTCGCAGTGCTTTCAAGTGAATCCAGGCAATAAACACCTGGCTGAAATTCACCTTCAGCCAACGCACAAAGCTTCCCTATGGACAGGAAGCAATGACATTTAAAATATACATTTTACACACATCAAGTATCTAAACTAAAATTGCAGTTGTATGCCGCCATCTAGCAGTCAGGTTGCAGGTTACATCCATCCCTGTCCAAAATGTCATCACTTGTCCTCATTCTATCCTATTAGTCATGCGGGTAGTGTTGTCACTATTAGCAAATTAAAGCCAACAATTTGTCTTGCGAGGTCACAGTAACTTTGACCTTAGACCATATATTCTAATCAGTTCATCCTCGAGTGCAAGGCGAAGTTTGTGCCAACTTCTGATTACATTTCCTTTACCTTGTTCGAGTGCGCTCAAAAGAGTGTTAAAAGGTAAATGGACTGCATTTTATATGTTGCTTTTCCAGTCTTTGCGACCAGAGCACTTTTAATACACAAGTCAGCATACACATATAGGCCTACCTACATTCATATTGAGGCAGAGAATACGATGGGCCACCTGCTCAGGAATGATAAATATTCACAGACAATCAGACAATCCCCCCGCCCTCCTGTTGACAGTTCACGATCGTCGGCACACTGATCACACATTTTCTTTTTAAATGGCACTTCATATCAGAAAGGTTGCCGACCCCTGGTTTACGCCAATCAGAATGCACCAAAGTTCATGTGGCGTCGGTGTGTAGATATGCCAAAACAATGTCGGACACCGTAATTTTCTCTGGTCCCCTCCCCAATCGGATCAATGACGACATGTATAGCCGCATGTCATCATTTCAGCGCTGGTTGTCTTGGTGGTGCCCAGCAAACGATGTGGGCTTCGTAAATAATTGGACAGACTTCTGGGGAAAACCTGGTCTGATTAAGAGAGACGGCATTCATCCTACTTTGGAAGGTGCAAATCTCATTTCGGCAAACATTTCAGGGCTTTGTGGACTTAATCCATGACAAACTGGAGTTGAGACTATGGCGGAGTCGCAGTCTTACACGCTTCTCTGCGCTCTCTCCAATACAATACCCAATATTAACGGTGTGTGTGTCTGCCCAAGGACAATTTAAAGTAAAACCTAATAGAGGTGTCATACATAATAACCTAATAAAAGTAAATGTAACAACTACTACAGAGCAACAAAACAGGAAGATTAAATGTGGACTCTTAAACATAAGATCTCTAGCATCTAAAGCAGGGGTGGGGAACCTTTTTCCTCTCAAGGGCCATTTCAATGTTTTCAACATCCTCCGAGGGCCGTACAAATTATTGACCTCTGCTTAAAAATACTAAAATCACAGCCCACTCATTTCACCTTTCTTTCATGCTGTGCAAAGAAAAAGCAACCTCTTAATCCAGATATCTTGCCATGACTCACGCATGCATGCACGTGCTCGGTTGTGGCATGACCACCCAAACAGAAAGATATGGACACAAGATGTGTGCAAATCTATTTAGACTCCTATCCATGTGAACATGATTTAAGTGTGGGGGGGGGGGGGGACCTAACCCCTAAAGATTTTTTTTTTGAATGTTGAAGTTAAAAGCATCAATCTGGTGCACTTTGAGAGCAACATTAGGAGATCTATGGATACATCTCTCAACACCCATATGAAACAGAACTGTAAACAGATTTTCTTTTTCTTTATGGATATTTTACAAATCACTCCCCTTTCAAACTGTATTCTTGTTTATTAATAACAAGTTATTTTTACTGTCATATAGTATTTTATACCTGTTTACTTTATTCTCTTGTTTTTTTACAACTATAATAAAGATGTGCCTTTACCTCACTGGTTGTAGAAAAAGCTTCTTATATTCGTTAGCATAGCTAGCTAATCAGATGCTAATAACAACAAAGTTATTGACTGTATGATCAGTATGACAGATCGCCACTGGGCTTACAACTAAGACACAGCCACGCAAAAACTACGGCATGTGTACGGCTCCTTATGGGTATAGGCCATAAGGTGAACCCTGTTATCGTTTCATCCCGCTCCACAGAAGTGGAACTACACAATCTTTAGTTCATAAAAAAGAACGAGTCATGCCTATCCACCAAAAAAAAGTTCGTCGCTAAAATTCCTGTCAATTCTTCTAGGCACGTAATTATTGGCTGAACTAGTCCCTTCAAAGCGTAATAATATCTTGGTCAAAAGTAGTGCCACGGTCCGTCACGTGATCGTGCTACACCAATTGGGTAGCTGCATATACCGGTATCAAACAGATTTGGAAAAAATGGCGACCGCCATGGTTTCATCGAGTAGCGGGGACGAGGAAAACGCACCAGAAAGTCTCAAAAAGTCAAAATTATCAACAAACATTGTTACATGCATATTACGTCTGTGAAGCACGAAAAGGTTGATTATTTTACCAATACAAGATGGAATACGTACAGGACAAGCTTACAACGGTGGCATTGATTTTGAAGTTACAAATACAATATTATCATATTACAATAATAATAATAATAATAATATAATATATATATATATATTATATATATCTATAATAATAATCTATATATATATCTATAATAATAATCTATAATAATAATAATAATGTAATTCATCAAATTATTATATGATGAATGAGTAAATAAATGAATCAATGGTCATTGGTATAAGTACTGTATTTTATTGATCTAAATTACTTAACGTAACAAGTTAACCTTCTTCTTGGACGCAGCTATGTATGAAATCAAGTCATGTTTATTTTAAGAGTGCATTTAACGTGTACAGGGTAACAATAACAACAGACAGACAGACAAAAAGTCCTCAGTCTAATGGAATAATCCACGAGCTCAGCCAATGAACCTAGCGATGCGAACATGGTAGTCCAGGAATGTTGTTGTAGCTGGAGTTGGCTGATAAACGCTGCTAGCCAATGTTGATTCGATGGTCAACTCTGTTCCCAGATAGTAAAACCTCTCACAAATACCGCGTATATAACGCAAATACCTCGGACTTAGTGATGTATTAAGACATATGACAAAACATGACATAAAACAAGCATACAGCACTGTTTAGAATCCATTTGGTCTGGTTTAGCGTAACCATGGAGGCGGCCATCTTTCACTTCTGTTGACAATATGCAGCTACCCAATTGGTGTAGCACGATCACGTGACGAACCGTGGCACTACTTTTGACCAAGATATTATTACGCTTTGAAGGGACTAGTTCAGCCAATAATTACGTGCCTAGAAGAATTGACAGGAATTTTAACGACGAACTTTTCTTTGGTGGATAAGCATGACTCGTTCTTTTTTATGAACTAAAGATTATGTAGTTCCACTTCTGTGGAGCGGGATTTCTTTTATAAAGGACTTTTCGAGGTTCACCTTGCGGCCTAGTAGGCTACTCCAATTTTTGGAAGTGCCGGAGCGGAGCGGCGTTCTGGTGCTCCCCGTCAGAACTACACCCCTGTCAGACGTAGTGATGGGTCGTTCGCGAACGATTCGTTCTTTTTGAACGAATCTTTGAAGTGAACGAGATGAACTGATTCCTCCCACAAAACGATTCGTTTTTCCTTCCGCCAAAAGCTAAAGAGAAGCTGTTCGCGAACGACGAACTTAAAGAACTGGCGGAAACAGTTCAGAACTGTTTCCTACAGTGTACTGTAATCAGAGCCCTCTCACCTGAGCTCCGACACACACACACACACACACACACACACACACACACACACACACACACACACACACACACACACACACACACACACACACACACCCACACACACACACACACACACACACACACACACACACACACACACACACACACACACACACACACACACACACAGGAGCAGGACATCCTCCTCAACCTGTCCGCAATAAAGAGGACGGATACCTAAACCGTAGCGTCCAGCTAGCTTATAGCGATAAATACACACATCGTTGTATTCTCCTCCCCCTGTCGGCCCTAAAAGCTTCAGATGGTGGATACCTGAGCTCCATAGCGTCCCGCTAATGTGAAACACACACACACAGCGTTAGCGGGACATTCTTCTCCCCCTGTCGGCACTAAAAGCTTCAGAGGGCGGATAGCTGGGCTCCGTAGCTAGGGTTGCCAACCGTCCCGTATTAGCCGGGACGTCCCGTATTTTAGCCAAAAGGGGCGTGTCCCGTACGGGACTTTGTTTGTCCCGGACTCCCGTGTAAAGGGAAAAATAAAAAATATTGTTCTGTTTGCGCGCAATGCAGTGTGTCTGGCTGCGTGCCTGTGTGCTGTATGCAGGGGCGGCGCCAGGGGGGAGCTAGGGAGTGCTGAAGCACCCCCCAGGATTGCCAAAGCACCCCCTAAGCACCCCCAAGAAATATGTGTTTTTTTTAATTATTATTATTATTTTTATTAAATTAAATTAGAAAAAGTATTGATTACATCAATGCAAATGTGAAAGAAACACATTTTTGACCAAAAACATAAAGCCAACACAGGTGATATGATTAGGCCAATGGCCAGCACCCATTCGATTTTTGACCTACCCATAGGCTAAATAACTTTGTGACACTTGAGTGACTTCCTGTTAGCTAGAGCGCCACATTATTTGCTAACAGCAAAGTGAAACATTTATCGTTTTTTAGTCCTTAAACGTCCACGTGTGGACACTCAATCAAAACCGCCTGAAAGCGAGAGGGATTCTGCACATAATAGCATAGCCTCGTGAGTACAAGTAGCTTACTTCTGGGTCTCTGTGTTTAATTCAAGCTCTGCTCTGTGTGTGTGTGTGGCACGAGCCATTTTGGGTGCGTGCGCGAGCGAGAGAGCTCGCGCACCGGTGGGTATCTACTGGAGATCGTTGTGGTTAGCATCTGGTGCTAGCTAGCCAAGCTAACGGATATAAGGAGCTTTTTCAACAACAAGGTGGAGGAAGAACTATCTCCTGTCAGACTGAGAGTCTCAGATAACCTCAGCTCAGGTGAAGTAAAGAGGCGCATTCACACTGCGGTACTTTTCCCACAAAGGTTCATGTGAACTTAGTTCATGTGAACTCTTTAGTTCGCATGAACTAAGTACAGATCGCGTTCATACTG